ATATATTGGATGCTTGAAAATCACTTAAAGGAAATGTGTTTCTGCATTGCTTTGATCTCTCACACACTTCACACACACGAGTTGTATCCGTATTTCTATTCACGCTGTTCAGATGCGGAATTTTTCTAACAATCTGGTAGGCATGATGTCTCATTCGCTTGTGCCAAATCTCTAGTTGATTTTCTGCATTGGTCTGATACGCCTTTATGCCACTCACACCACGATACCAATAGAGTCCCTCTTTTCGTTCACCCGCACCAATCAGCATCCTCGAAGTGTGGTCCTGCATTGCACAAAATCTATCAGTAAAATGTACTGTACATTTTACTTCATTCGTCAATTGTGATACTGAAATCAAATTGCAATTCAATTTCGGAACATATAGAACATGTTTAAGTTTCAGTCCTCCATCAAGGAAAACCGATCCTTCTTTGTTTGCCAGCACCAATTCACCATTTGGTAGTCCCATTGGGCACCCTTCCAAGGCTCGACTCTCCCTCAAGTTTTCTAGTGTTCCTGTCATATGATTAGAGGCGCCACTATCAATAATCCACAAGTCACATGCTTTCTTACCAGTCATCTTTTCAGTTTCATTTGCCTTGCGAGAATTCAACATTGCTGTCAAGATCTGCCATTGCTCATTACTCGGTCCTGCGACTTCCGGTTTTTCGGTTGAACCAACGTTATCCGCACCAGTGTGCGCCATATTGACGCGAGTCGTTCCTCCTTTTCCTTGGAAGGTTCCTGTTCTTTGTTGATTTTTTTCATCGTTTTTATCGGTTCGTGGTCTCTCTCCCCACCATTCTGGGTAACCAATGATCTTGAAGCAATTGCCTTTGTCATGTCCCTTCCTTCCACACCGCATGCAAACAACTCGATTTTTCTTTCGCTTCATTGCGCAACTTGTTCCCGGTTTCCGCTCGCATAGCCATTCCCACGATCATTCCTCGCTCTTCTTTAGACCTGGTGATTGTTCTCACCCTTTCTTCTTGCACCATGGTGCCATACACCCGATTCAACGAGGGTAATGGATCTCGTTGCCAAAACATTTGACCGTGCAGTTCCATAGCCCTCATCATCTAGCCCCATCAAGAACTGATGAATTTTTTCTTCTTCTCTTTGTTTCTCAAGTTGCGTCATAATATTACACTTGCATCCCCCACATCTACACTGTGGGATTTGCTCGTAATTTGTCAGTTCATCCCACAACGTTTTCAACTTCCCATAATAGGAAACCATAGTCATTCCTTGTTGTTTGCATTCCGCCAACTCGACTTTAGTCGCTGGATTCTTGGTCCGTTCACGATCGAGAATCGTTCCTTGATGTCATCCCATAGGTCCTTTGCGTTTTCCATGTATGCAACAAGTGGAACGCAAACTAGGTTCTATAGTGTTTAGTATCCAAGATACAAGCATCGATTGAATTGTCCACCAATCTTCTATCTCAGATGTGTCTTCTTCAGGTTCCTTATGAGTTCCATCTATGAAACCCCATTTCCTTCGAGCCCGCAGAGATATCTTCACGGCCCTTGCCCATTCCTCGTAATTCTCTCCTCGTAATTGTACCTGTGTAATCACATTTCCAGGATTATCAATGGCACTCAGATCGTATGGCGATAGTGTTTTCTTCACCGTCTCTCCTCTCTCTGCCATTTTAGAAGTACGACTGTGTTCTCGGGCTGTTGGATATCAGAGTTTGGTTCGCTCTGATACCATGATAAAAATATTCCCAAAAACCCCTGTCTTGTATTGAATATGATAGCACAATATATACATGAAATACGTAAACATTCTAGGCTATAATTACGCTAACCATTATAGTCGGTATCCTAAATTTGTCTATTAACAGATATGACATTAATGTGCATCACTGTGCATCGCTGTCATGCCAAGCTAAATATGGAAAAAATTAATCATGTAGAATCATGGCATGATACGGTATTTGTAATCGTATATTCTATGTTTATCAAGATTGCAGTAATGCAAATAACAGGAATTTGAAATTGCAGAAGTGTAAATGGCAAGGAACATAAACGCAGAATCTTAACTTGCATAAAGATGAAAATGACAAGGAATTGAAAGGACAGAAACTTAAAGTTGATAAACGTAAATTGCATGAAAGTAAATTACAGGAAAATAAATTACCAGGGAAAGTAAAAAAAACGATAAAAGCAATCAACGAAAATGGAAATCCAGAGCATTAGAAACTTCATGATGCGTCGTTCTCCTGTAGACTTTTCATTTATGTTTTTGTCTTCTCTGCCAATTTTCTTCTTTCCTTCACTCTTCGCTCTATTTATAGAGCATCCTTCAGGTAACCTCCTAAGAGCAGTTAATGAAAACTGCTACCACGTCCTACGTGCACGTCCTTCGAAGTTTTACTTTAGTTCTACGGTTTTAGAAAACTGTTTCCACGTTCCATACGCGTTTAACCGTTCCTCTCTTTATAACTTAGCCATAATTTTGATAGCCATGTAGGTTAACCTTTCCCTCGATCTCGATTTCAAATCTCGAGAACTTTGAATTGCTTTTGATTCCCTTTAACCTTAACATTACACTTGATTCTAATTTCTCGATTTTCTTCAACAATAGACATCAAATATTCTTCCTTCGATTCTCGATTCTAATTCTCGATTTATGTGTTCATACTGTTACGTGGTCATCGAATGTCTTCCAACCATCTTTTCGATTTATCAATTTTTTAACCAATCATATCATCATCGATTCTTCTTTCCTCCGCTTTTCGATCCCTTTATCGATTTTTTTACTAACAACTTCAAGATGAAGCCAAATAATGTATAAATTGAAAATTTATCATTTGTTAATCCAAACAAAAAAAAAACTCACAAGGGATAAATGATTTGTATTGGATCATTAAATAAAAACAAATTTGCACGCTTCATATCATTCTTTTCACTAGAAACAAGAGTATAATTATTTTTTAAACATATATTTATCTTAGTTGATTCTAACTTCTTTCAATTCCTACTTATATAAAGGTCGTCATCTATTATTACATAGTCACACTTATATTTTTCAGTTTATCTTTTATCCTGTGACTCAATATATAAAAATTAAATTAATTTATTAATAAAAAAATATAAACTAAAATCAATATTTACAATTATACTTTACCAGTAATCATGCAACTTTTGTGATCATTACTTACTCCTCATTTTAATATATCAAATAAAAATATTAATAAAATATACACTTAATTAAAACATAAATACATATTATCAATATAAAATATCTTAAGTTTTTTTTCTCATTAGCTGCAGATGTAATTAATTTTTAAATTTATTTTATCAAATATATTATTTTTTATGTTTTACTTTTTTTTTCAATAGTTTATTTGATATTTCCGTAGAAAGATTAGGAAAATACAATTAACATGAAAAGAAACAACTATTTTTTTCATAATCATGTTATTATTGGTATGAAACATCTACGCAGTCTGTTGATAAATAATATTTGAAAGAGCTCAATTGATTACTTATAATGAAATCTTTCTCACCACATATGTTCGTATACAAGACAATAATTAATTTATAACAAGTTTCTAAAACAATAAATAAAAAATTCTATAAAAACTACTTTTCCATAAAAAAGTAAAATTTTAAGAAAATAAACTGCTGGTTTTTTAGTAATAAAAACAGAAATCTAATTAAATAGATTAATGACATGTCTCCTTTTATGATTCGTTTAACTATCTTAAAGTACAAAACAAAACAAAAAACATTTTAGTCCTGAAAATATAGAATACATTTAATAATAATAATAATAATAATAATAATAATAATAATAATAAATTAACAAATGAAAAGTATGACAGAAAAGTTTAAAACTATTTTATTTTTGAAATAAAAAGTTTAAATTAAGTAATAAAAGTAAAGTATAAAAATGGATTAGGAGAGTAGGGTGGAGGCAGAAGAAATAACAGTATGATAATAACCGTTGGATATAACGCCAGTGACCGGCTGTGATGGAACAGTCAAAGTAGGACTGCGCCGCCCTTGAAAAACAATGTGAATTCCCTGGCGACGCGTTTAGTTTTGTTTTGGGCTGAACTCAATTCAGCCTTCGTTGTTTCGAACTTACTTCCCTCCCACCCTTCTTTCTAGTGCCTCCCTATATATAGATACATTAGAATCAGATAATCCTGGAACGTAATATTGGCGCAACTTCGTTTCTAGCACTCCTTTCATTTCGCCACCCACTCTCTCTCTCCAACAATTTTAACATTTTTTTTTTACTCCCTCATTTTAAACCACTGATTCAAATCTATTTACTTCTCTCTCTAACCCGCGTCTCTCCATTTCACGGGCGACATTGCTGCGTTCTCTGGTGTCTTTAGCCTTTCAAGGTACCCTTATTATTATCTTTTTAAGGAACTGGGTTTTGTTGTATTATTGATCTTTTTTTTCTTTTTTTTTTTATCTAGCTAAAATGGTTCTTGACGCTTTGGGGATTTCGGTTTATTGGTGTGAATGAATGCCTATTTTTTATATATATATATATATATATAAAAGTGTTTAATGTGTACATCGTATATGTATTCCCCGTAATAAATTCCGATCTGGGTTTACGCTGTGGCTTGCGGTAGAAAAAGGATGTTTGAAAACTTGAACTTTGGTTATGTCGTTTCGATTTTGTTGACTTCAGTTAAAGCAACGACATTGTTACCAGGAACTTTATTGGGTTTTGTCATTATAAGTTACACAATTGTTTCACCTCTATAGTGGTGATTCACTTCTATCTATGTGCATAAATGCTCATATCAATCTCATTTTTTCATAGATTAGAGAAGAAAAACTTCTTTTGACCTTTTTTTTTTCAAGCGAAGTTTAGGATTGTTTTGGGGACTTTATTGTATATATGTATCATTATAAGGTATGCAACTGCTTCAGCTATATCTATGCATAGATGCTGGGTTTGATCGTATCAAAGTATCTAATCTAGCTGAATGTATTCAAATCAAATTTTGAACAGGATAAAAAATGGCAGAGACAAAACCAGACACACCGTTGATGCCACCATCAACGAGGAACCTTCCAGATTTCAAGAAGTCCGTGAAATTGAAGTACGTGAAGCTTGGCTATCATTACCTAATCACACATGGCATGTACCTCTTTCTTTCCCCTCTGGTGGTGGTTATTGCTGCACAGCTCTCAACCTTCTCCCTCGAAGATCTCCATGACATTTGGGAGAATCTACAATACAATTTGATATCCGTTATTCTTTGCTCCACCCTGATTGTATTTTTGTCCACACTATACATTATGACTCGTCCAAGACCCGTATACCTTGTCAATTTCTCATGTTACAAGCCCGAAGAAGCTCGCAAATGCTCAAAAAGGAGATTTATGGACCAGTCGAGGAGGAGTGGTTTTTTCAGAGAGGAAAATCTTGAATTCCAGCGGAAGATTCTGGAGAGGGCTGGCCTTGGGGAAAGCACTTACTTTCCACAAGCTGTTCTCAACGATCCTCCCAACCCTTCAATGCAAGAGGCAAGAAAAGAAGCTGAGGTTGTTATGTTTGGTGCAATTGATGAGCTGTTTGCCAAGTCTTCTGTGAAGCCTAAGGACATTGGAATTCTGATTGTAAATTGCAGCCTCTTCTGCCCCACGCCATCGCTGTCAGCAATGATTATTAATCATTATAAGCTTAGAGGAAACATAAAGAGCCTCAACCTTGGTGGGATGGGATGCAGTGCAGGTCTCATTTCAATTGATCTTGCTAAGGACCTTCTCCAAGTTCACCCCAATTCCTATGCATTGGTTGTTAGCACAGAAAACATTACTCTGAATTGGTACCCTGGGAATGACCGATCCAAGCTTGTTTCCAATTGTTTGTTCCGTATGGGAGGGGCTGCCATACTGCTTTCCAACAAAAGCTCTGATAAGAGAAGATCCAAATACCAGCTGGTTGACACAGTTCGCACTAATAAGGCTTCTGATGACAGGTGCTTTGGCTGTGTTGTCCAAGAGGAAGATTCCAATGGCAAAATTGGCGTCACTTTGTCAAAAGATTTAATGGCAGTTGCTGGTGATGCTTTGAAAACAAACATCACCACATTGGGGCCTCTTGTCCTTCCAATGTCCGAACAACTCCTATTCTTTGCCACGTTGGTTGGGAAGAAGCTTTTCAAGATGAAGATCAAGCCTTACATTCCAGACTTCAAGCTGGCTTTTGAGCATTTTTGCATCCATGCCGGAGGCAGAGCTGTGTTGGATGAACTTGAGAAGAACTTGCAGCTGTCCACTTGGCATATGGAGCCATCAAGAATGACGCTTTACCGTTTTGGAAATACCTCCAGCAGTTCTCTTTGGTATGAACTGGCTTACACAGAAGCCAAAGGGAGGATCAGGAAGGGTGATAGAACATGGCAGATAGCATTCGGTTCTGGATTCAAGTGCAACAGTGCAGTGTGGAAGGCTCTCAGGACCATCAACCCTGCCAAGGAGAAGAACCCTTGGATGGATGAGATCCACAATTTCCCAGTTGAAGTTCCAAGGATTTCATCCTTCTAAACGAATGCAGTATTGAGTATATTTGGGTCAGAGCCTTAGGTGGTAGCAGTTGAAGTGGTGGAAGGGCGTGACGGGTAGGTCTTGCTTGGAGGATAGATTTTGTTTGATATTGAATCTAATTTAGTGAAGGGCTGAAGCAAGAGGTTTGCACTGCAGCTGGGTTTCTCAGCAATCCATTGCTTTTTGGTAGTGAAATGTAATTAAAATCCTGTTCTAGATTTGTCTGATACATTTACAATTCTTTCCCATGTTGAAATGGAAAAAAACTTCATATATTCTTTAGTTGTTAACATGTATTTGTGTCTATAAAAAAATATCAGTGTGATCCATGAAAGTATTTAGAGATTTTAATTTAATTTTAGAATTCAAATAAATTATTCACAAATTAATTTTCATTTTTTACATTTGTTATAAGTTTTAAATAGATTATTACTGTGTTATCATCGAGGAGGCGTTTGAAGCGAAAAACAAATGTGAAAGAAAGAAAGAAAGAAAGAAAGAAGTTATATTTAAGAATACTTTATCTATTAATTAATGTTTAATGGACTACCAGCAATAAAGTACTTACTTTCAAAGCTCAAAAAGAGACTATTCAACTACGCCTTTAGAATGGTACTGATGTGCTCACTAGGGGAAGCTAACTTGGCATTCTTCTAGAAGTATATGTATATGCAATGGTCATGTTTTTTTTTTCACACTTCTAAGAGCATGTCCAATTTCAAAACAAGATTATAGGATTCAAAAGAAACATTCCTCCTCTTACCTTTGTCTTCTGTCCTCTCTTATTGCGAAGCCAATGCACACTAAACCATATTTTCTAAAAAGCACATACTAAAACGCCACAAAAATGCTGAATTATAATTCAAAACCTCTTTGCAAAAGAAAATAAATGTTTTTTCACCAAAAACAAACATTTCAGATAATTTTTAGAAGAAGATAATAAGGTCAGCTAATTAAAAGTTATCCTCTAATGATTATAGATATAAATAAAATATATATTTACAACTCTGCCTCCACGTTAATAACATTGAAACATAATATAGGAAAAAAAAACTATTCATATTTTTTCAAACTACATGAAATTTCGTCCTACTATATCTTTTACATCCTAATATATAAATTATAAATTTTAGCTGTAGTCTAAAATTACGAATAACTTCCTTATTTACTGTAAATATTCAAAGATAATCAAAAGTATTATCTATAACTAAATAAAATATAAAAAAAATAGTATATTCTGATAGTAATATTTATCCTAATGTGAAAGTTACTTGATTAAGAAATTATTACTAGACAAAAGTTACTACTAATAATTATGTTATAATTATTTTTACTCAAGAGAACAATAACTCAAACATTATGATTTGATTCTTATTTGACCCACTCGATAAGTGTTAAAAAGTAGTAAATTTTCATTTAGAATGTGTTAGTGAGAAATCGATAAAGGGATCGAGAAACAAATGAGAGCAAAAAATCGAAAACCATTTTTAAGTTAAAGACTGATAAATCGAAAGATAGTTGGAAAATATGTTCGACGACCATATGACAATATGATCGAGAATTAGAATCAAAAAAATCGAAAGAAGAATATTTTCGAGAAATTAAAATTTTGTAATGTTAAAGTTAAGGAAAACCAAGAGCAATTCAAAGTTCTCGAGATCAAGAGATCAAAATCAAGAGGAAGGCTAACCTGCGTGGATATCGAAATCCCGGCTAGGTCATAAAGAGGGGAACAGTTAAACGCGCACATAGGAAACAATTTCTAAACCGTAGCAGAGGTCGAAGAACATGGGAATGTGGGTGCAGTTTTGATACCGAAGAAGAAACTGCAACATGCACGTAAGACGTGGTAGCAGTTTTCGTTAACTGCTCCTAAGAGGTTACTTGCTTAAAGGATGCCCTATAAATAGAGTGAAGGATGAAGGAAGAGAGGAAATTGGCAGAGAGAGCAGGAATACTAGTGAGAAGTCTACCGGAGAACAACGAATATCATGAAGTTTCTGGCGATCTGGATTTCCATGTTCATTGATTTCCTTTACCGTTTTCTTTATTTTCCCTGGTAATTTGCCTTGATGCAGTTTATGTTTAACAACTTTAAGTTTCTGTATTTTCGATTCCTTGTCATTTCTCTTTAATGAAAGTTAAGTTTCTGCGTTTAAATTCATTATCATTTACATTAACGTAATTTCGATTTCCTGCCATTTACATTTCTGTAATTTCGATTTCCTGCTATTTACATTTCTGTAATCTCAATTTCCTGCTATTTACATTTCTTTAATCTCGATTTCCTGCTATTTACATTTCTGTAATTTCGATTTCCTGTTATTTATATTTCCGCAATTTCGATGCTTTGTCATTTACACTTAATGCAAATTTGAGGTTTCCGCATTTTTCATTCCTTCGCAGTTTTACATTCGGTATTGCTTTTCGATTTTTCACTTTACTGTTTTCCTTATTTCGAGTACTTCAAATATAAAATACCAAAAATAGTGTTTTCGATTATTTAATCTTAGTATTTTCTATACAGTGGTATTTTCGATTCTCATACGCATTTCGATTGAAATTCAATTGCTAGCCTAAGTATAAAAAATCTACGTGGTTGAGTTTTGGTTAGAATCAAAGCCTCTTAAGAATCGAAATTAATCAAAATTCCACCAGAAACAAATTGGCGCGCCAGGTAGGGGGATTTGTGTCGAAAAAACACAAAATTGGTTAGTTCGAAGGTGTATGAGATTAAGGAGTGGGCGAGTAATAAGAATGAGTCAGAATCCACCAAATAACCAGAGCAACAAGTGAGGGTTTGAACAGATCTGAATGGTTCGCATCCACCAAACACTCGGGGGCAAGGGCATAATGGGAATATGCTCGTAGTATCGACAACCGCGGGTATGTCGATACCTGCAAGTAATGAACAAAGTTCAGGTACATTAGTAAATACTCAAGTAGGGTCTAATATTGTGATACCAAACAATATGCAAACTATGGGGAACCCCATAACAACATATGCAGGGTCGTATATGAGCGTAAGACCACCTGGTTTTTCGCTTAATAATATGAGTGGGGCTGGTACTTCTCCAGTACAACGAAATTCAAGATTTAACTTAGGAATGCCTCAAAACTTAGGTACATTTCAAACTCTAGGTATGCCGCAAAATTTCGGAGTATCTCCAAATTTAGGGGCGTCTCAAAATTCAGTAACCCCCCAGAATTCAGGGAGTGTGCAGAATTCAGGTACACAACAGACACCTCCAAACATAGATCATAGAATAAATATGGATTATGGGAGATATACATTCGATAGAGATTATCATCGGTCCAACTTCGATACTATCGAAAATGCCAGTACTGGAATCTCCAGTAACTCATTAGGAGTACTTAGACAACAAATGGATGAGAGCAATTTTGAGATGGTTAATATGTTGTCACAACAGTTGACTACAGTCCTAAACCCATTAGTTCAAAACACTACTACTAGTTTTGAGATATTAGCAGACCAAATGGCCCGTATCGGGGATGCATTGGCCATACCTCGACAAACGAGAATGGAAAATCATGCCACTCACAGCATCAACCAGAATGCTAATATTAATCCTCCTTATTTATTAAGAAGGAATCGACACAATGATCAACATCAGAATCTAGGGAACAAATATCAGCATGTGAGGAATGATATTTATGGAAATCTGAATGAGGGATTTCAGAACATGTATAATCAAAATAACATGCAGTTTAACCACATGTCAGGGCAAAGGATGAACCCTCAACGGGTAGAATTAAGGCCACCCAATCAACCATACTTTGTTTCTCCTTTTCCAAATATGATTCTCGAGACAGAATTACCTCGAGGATACAAAGTACCTAAATTCACCAAATTTGCTGGAGAAATTAGTGAGTCCACTATCGAGCATGTAGCTCGATATCAGATCGAATGTGGGGACCTAGCTATGAGTGAAGAATTAAAAATGAAATATTTCCCTAGTTCATTAACTAAGAATGCTTTCACTTGGTTTACTTCGTTGCCACCCAATTCGATATATAATTGGTTGCAATTGGAAAGAAATTTTCATGAGCAATTCTTCAGAGGGGAAACCCAAGTAAGTCTCATCGACTTAATGAATATAAAGAGATACAATCATGAAAGTATAGACGATTATTTGAATAAATTTAGACAGATGAAGTCAAGATGTTTTACTCAAATTCCTGAATATGAATTAGTCAGAATGGCCTCTGCAGGTTTAGAATTCTCGATTAGGAAAAAGTTAGTTAATTTACCATTAAATGACATGGCTCAGCTAGCCGATAAAGTGAGAAGAGTGGAACAAATCGAATATGAAAAACAAAGGTATAAGAAATTTGAGAAACCTATAAAGAAAGAAAGAGTAGCATATATAAATGATGTGTATGAGACAGATCCCAAGACCGAAACTGATATTGAAGAAACTGTCGATGAGAAAGTGAATATAGCAGAGCTCAAAGTAGGAGCTCCATATATTTGTAAATTACTACAGAAAAATGAAGTAAAAGACAAAATGACAAATCGAACGTATACTTTCGATGTAACAAAAGCCGATAAAATTTTCGATATTTTATTGAAAGATAAGCAGATTAAGTTGAGTGATGATCATAAATTGCCATCTGCAGAACAAAGGAATGGTCGAAAATACTGCAAATTCCATAATATTTATGGATATTGGACTAATAATTGTATACATTTCAGGAACACGATTCAATATGCAATTGATCAAGGAAGACTGAAGTTCGAGGAGATGTCAATGAAAGTGGACACAAGTCCATTCGAGGTTCAAGTAGGATATATCGAATCCCAGACGGGCATGACTGAAGATGTCCGATTGACAAATTCGACCTTTGTAGGCATGGTTGATGTTACTGAAGACATCGACCCTAAGCATGTCAGAATGGACGTATCTGAAGAAGACATGGAATTCTTAAACAGAAAGAAAGAAAAGGATGAAGATGTGGCATTATGTCCACGATGCAGT